TAGTGTGATTATTTTACCTGCATGCATTTACTTGAATAATTGTCTTAGTTTTTTCGTTTTCTTGGTGTGTTTGCTTGTGTGTAACTCTCCTTTAATACCATGTAAATCTCCTGTTATGTGTTAATCTCTTCTGTTCAAACAATTCAGGTGTACTGTTAATTTCACCTTCTTGAAGTCTTTCCTCTGACTTGCTCCAGTCTACTTCCGTGAGGACTGATGCCTCTAGGCCTCCCGCACAGCTGTCATCTCGGGAGCTTTTTTTGTCATTCTAGGGATTCTTTTTGCCTCACTTTTGTATTGGACTTCCTTTTTCCTGGATCAAAAACAAAAGGATGTCTCTTTCTTTCTTGATATACTTCATTTTGGTGGAGCATATCACTTACCTTTCTGGAAAAAAAAAAATTCACGGGAGATAAATCAGAAAAAGGTTTTAGCTGATTCTGGTTCTCCTAATTGACCCAAAAGAAGTTTTATTTTTGGTTTTTTTTTTTAACAAAAAAAACAAGCAGCTTTTAACTCATATTTTAGCCTTACACTTAATTGATAGTTTGAGTGGGTATAAAAATTTTTTTAAGATAATTATAATTTTTTTAAATGTAAGTTAGAAATTATTTTTTCTCAGAATTCTGAAGGCACTGCTCTCTTGTCTTTATAGTTGAGAAGTCTGATACCATTCTGATTCTTAATCTTTTATATAAAGCATGTTTTTCTTTCAGCTAGATGCTTTATCTTTCCTTTTCCCATTGTCCTGAGATTTCATTGTGACGTATCATGGTGTAGGCCTGCTTTTATCCATTGTCCTGGACACTTGCTAGGCTTTTTCAGTCTCAAAGCTCACGTCTTTCAGGTTAGAGAAATTTATGTCTAATACCTCTTTTTTAGAGTGTCCTGTTCCTTTTACATAAATGCAGTGTCTTCAGAGGGAATAAATGATTTTTTTTTTTAATTTTCTTCTCCTCAGATAGTCTGTTTCCTCCTAGTTGCCTTTTTTCTGACTTCTCTTAGATACTTTCCTCAGATGTTTGGTAATATTTGACTCTCTGCCTAAACTTTAAGACTGGAGAACTTAAAAAGCTGACAGGAAGTTGTGAATGCCTGGGTAGGGCTCACTGACTGTGACCGTCATTGTAGGGTACTATAGCTGAGACCCTTCTTTGGGGAATCCCAAGATTCCCCAGAGAACAATTCTTTTACTTAAAATTCTGGAGAGTCCTGGTTACCTCTGTTTCCATGGTGAATCTCAAAAGTGCTTCGAGGCACATTCAGTGACTTTAAAACCTGTGTCTAATTTCACCTGGAAAAATAATACTTTTTTTTTCTTTTACATGATAGGAATATAAACTGGCATTTCACAATTAAAGTTTTTGTTGTCGTTGTTGTTGTTGTTAGTGTCATGAAGATATTCCTATAGTATTTAACCAAAAATTAGAAAAGACAATCGGCCTCAAAAGGGTGTGCTAAAGTATACGCATGTCCTTTTCAGGACAGTCAGTAGCTTTTGTCAGATTCCTGATCCTGTGATTGACCCAAAAGAGATGTCAGGCAAAACCAAACAAACAAAACATTGCCTAGCGTAATGGTCCTTACCCTGGGATGTGCATCAAAATTATTCAGCTTTTTTGAATATATATATTCCTAGACCCTACCCTTATACCAGGAGAAAGCTTCAGGAAAAGACATTTAAACAGACTGCCCCTGTTTCTACCACCAGATGGTGGAGTTGGCCCAGAACAGTTTGGTTGTAGTACTGAAACATGGTGTCTATTTGTATATACCAGACACACACAGGCAGATGTTCACAGGTCAGAAGCACTTTTGTCCTGAGTAATTGAGAGTTCTAGTTCAGGTAAATCACCCCCTTTCTGACTCAGCCCCATTTGGTTTGAACAGAGGATCTACCATGGTGCTTCTCAAACTGAGTATATAAAACTCTCCTGAGAAGCTTGTAAAAAATGTAGATTCTGGGGCCGGCCCAGTTGCATAGCAGTTGGGTTCGCGCACTCCGCGTTTGTGGCCTGGGGTTCGCAGGTTTGGATCCCGGGCATGGACCCACACACTGCTTATCAAGCCATGCTGTGGCAGTGTCCCATATAAAGTAGAGGAAGATAGGCATGGATGTTAGCCCAGGGCCAATCTTCCTCAGCAAAAAAGAGGAAGATTGGCAACAGATGTTAGCTCAGGGCTAATCTTCCTTAAAAAAAAAAAAAAAGATTCTAGGGTTTCACTCTCAGGATTTTGATTCCTTAGATCTGGGGAGCAATTCTACATTTTTAGTAGGCATCCTTGGTTATCCTGATGCACATGATCAGTGGACCATATTTTGAGATATGCTAATCTGAGTTACTACTGATAATATCCCTGAAAGTTTTTGTTGGGGGGTTAGGTTGAGAAGGTTAATTGTCTGCTTTTTGTTGTAGTTTAAATATAATTAGCTCCTAAAACTCTAATAGTAAGGATAAGCAGTATAGCTCTTAGATCCAGGCAACCAAGACTTTGCACTTTAGAGGGCCCAGCTCTGGTCTTCTTCCAGACAAACCCCTCTTCACAGGATGAGGAGTCCCAGAAGACATCCCCACCTGAAGTGCAGCCCCTTCTAGACCACATTCTGAGTATCAGTACCCTGGAATTCTTTGCCCAAATGTCCACATTCAGGGCCTGCACAGGCCTCTTCCCTCTCAGAATCAGTGCGCACACTCCTAGGTCCAGGGAATAACTAAGGGATAGCTTCAGTTTTACCAGATAGTCCCTTACCTTCACCTTTTTCTTCTTTCCAGCAGAAAATTCCTCTATGCCTTTGTTATTCTATATTAGCAGTTCTCAGATAAAGAAGCATTAATTGCATCTCCTTCGACATTGAGGAAATGACTCCTCAACCTATAGTTAGTTTTATGTAATATTTGAGGTCACTGATTACATCTGATATGAGGCTGCAGTGTTTTAATTACAATAAATTTTGTTAGAACAAAGGAAAGCTACAGCTTTCCAAACAATTGGGAAGTTGTGGTTCCTCTGCCATACTCCTTTATAACAGCCAGGAAGAAGGAAGACACGTGTTCCATGTTATTTCTTCAAAAGGGTCTGGGGAAAAGAGAGAAAGGAAGAGATTAACTGACTTAAGTTAACACTTGGAGCTATAAATCATGTGTTGCAATATGGCGATAGGATGTTGCATCAGAATGTGGCAGTTGTAGTAATGCAGTGGGTATCACAACCATGGGGAGGTGTCTGTGGTGCTCTGTGCCCTTTCCCTAAAGATCCAATTCCACATTTATGTCCCTTCTGCTCTGCCAAGGAGGAAGGCGTTATTTAAGTTACATTGTACCTCACTGTAATTTTGTTCTCTTGGCCTAGGGCACAGGAATTTCTTTATGGGTAAAGGTTTGCCCGAGGCAGACATCATTGTACTGAGTCCCAGCATCCCTCTTGTTTCCCGTTGTCTCATACCAGCAGGGAAGTGCTAAGGTTTCTTCACTTCTTCTTGGAAATCTGTAGGAAAAGCTGGGAGGTGTTATGGCAAAGTAATGTCTTTACTCTCAGAACCGTTAGTTTTGAAAGTGTACGTAATATTTCCTGAATATTTCACATTGCGTTAATCTCAAGATTTGAAGATAGTAAGTGACCAGGAATTTGTCCCTGAGAAACAAAATTGAAGGTTGATAGTAATAAGGGTAGGATGCATGGAGTCTATTTCAGCAAAATTCTTAACAGTCAAGGTAGATTTTGGTAGTTAACTTTTTTATTGTTGTTTTGGATTTTTTTTAAACTCTGCTTTATTCTAGGAGAAAAATCATGGTGTATGGGAGAAATTAAACAAGTGACAATATCAAAATTAAAATTTTATATTTAAAACGTAAACTCTTGAGGACAGGGTTGATGTCTTAATTATATGGTAATGGAGCTGGTGGCATCTGTGGTGGAGGGTTTGGGGATTTGAGGGGACTTCGGCAAAGAAGCAGCAGATGATAAAAAGGAATCACCTTTAATCCTGATAAAATTGGTTTCAGAGAATGTGGTTTAGATGTGCGACAACAATGGATTTCTCAGTACTGAATTCTGGAATTAGTCAGACTTGCCCACCCAGTAATAGTTAGCATTTGATCTCCACAGCCCTTCCCACATGAGGATCTGGCCCTGTAAAACTCCGAGAGAGAGAAACAGAACCTGGTTCTCAAAGATGGACACAGAGGGATAAGAGCTGAGCAATACATGTCATTCCTCTCCCCTATTCTCTGGTGAGAGAGGTCCTTCCTTCTCCCTGGGAAGGAGTAGAGAGAGAACGCAAAAATGTTATACACTACTGGTATTCCCCCTATGCAGAAGGAAATATCGTTAGTGGGAAGGAGCATTCGTACCGTGAGTGATAGTGGTTGGTGGTCTTTAGGATGTTGTAACAGGATGGAGACTCATAGCAAATTTTAATGATTTGTAGATCATTTTCATCATTCACAGAATTATGGGGACATGCTCTTAAGACAGTGAGTGTGATGGTTCAGAGTATGGTCAAGTCCATATCTTCTAGAGCTGCACGCTGAAATATTTACAGGTGAACTGATAGGATGTCTGAGATTTACCTCAAAATAATCCAGGGACCGGAGAAGTGTAATGTAACAAGGTTGTCCGTGATGTGTTAGTTGCTGAAATTAGGTGATGGGTACATGGGGTTCATTATCTCTAGTATAGTGAAGGTTCAGTTTAAATTTAAACTGTGTCCTCAGCACGTTACTCTACCTTAGTCTCTGTTTCGTAATCTCTAAAATGAGGATAATAAAATCTACCACATAGGACTGTTGTGATGATTCAATTAAAGTAACAAGTTGTATGTCTATGTCCATTATATACATAACACATAGAAGTCACTCAAAACTTGGTAGTTACTATTACATCTATAAATGGAAAAAGATCAAGGTATCTCCTTCCTTAAACATGAAATGTTTGCTTCCTTAGGGTGATGTGTGTGTTTCCCCCAATTGAGTATATTAACCTGGATTTTGTTTTGACAGCTCAGGTCCCTAAAAGGCCAGAGGGGCTTCTCAGGCCAATCCTCTTTTGATGGAATCCACATTGTCAACCATTTAATAGGAGATGACGAATCATTCCATTCCTCTGATGAAGATTTTATAGATAATCCCTTACGGGAAAGTGGTGTTGGTTTTCCTTTGCACAGAAAATCTGGCCCAATGTCTTTGGACTGCGCTGTGGCAGATGGTAGTGAAAGCGAAACAGAAGACAGTGTGCTGGAGACCAGAGAGAGGAATCGAGTGGCTCAAAAGGAGCGGCCCCCAAGAAGAAGAGAGTCGTACTCAACCACTGTCTGACCATCACTGTGACCTAGACTGTGGATTTTTTTAAGGGATCAGTTATCATATGATTAAGGGTTTTTGGAACATATCTGTTTCATATGTACATATATACATATATATTTTATCTTATCTGCCTTTTTATCTTTGCCAAATCTTCACCACTGACTTACCATTGCCATAAAATAGACTGGAATATGGTTAATGGGAAAAATAAGGTTCTAACAGTGTTACTGAATATTAATGTTTCTTGTTTAGAATATGCAATTATATCTATATGTGGGAACCATTTTGAAGTATGGAAAATAGAATTTTCTTCAGACAAAACTGCTCTTGTGCAATATTTTATGCTCAGTGAACAAATTGTATATTTATGTTGTTCAGTTTGTTTTCAGGGCAGCTGTCTACAAACATTTGACCAGACATACGTCTGATTTATCTTGTATTTTTATGTTTGGGGGATTTTTTTTTTCAATTAAAATTATAGTCATGTGCTGCATAACGACATTTCGGTCAACAACAGACGGCATATACAATGGTGGTCCCATGAGATCAGTACCTTACAACCTAGATGTGTAGTAGGCTATACCATCTAGGTTTGTATAAGTAAGTTGTATGATGTTCTCACAACAACAAAATCGCCTGACTACACATTTCTTAGAACGTATCCCCATCGTTAAGCAATGCATGACTGTACTGCTTTATTAGTGGGCCGCTGAAAGTTCCCAAACACAAAGCCTTTTTTCCATATAATTTTATAAATACAAATTAATGGTTATCTGTCTTGAGAGTTTTAAGTTTTTTTTAATTTCTAATTTTTATGTGCATATGATGCTTCCATGTGTTGCCTACCAGTCAGAGTAGTAGATTAACTACAAATATATTTTTTGTACATATTTGTAAATCTACATCAGCCAACATTGAACATTATTTTATATGGAGAATGTACATGTTGCAAAATGACTGCCTTCAGCATTCTAACAAGACTTCTATAAATAATAGGTTAAAAGAAAATTGAAAATAAAACCAAACACTAATATTTTAATAGCTTTAGTATTTTGCTTAGCATTCAACACTAGCAGATTCATAACTTAACTGATGCTTGGTCAAAAACACTATTGGTAAAATCTTTTACTTCATGTGTAACTAATAAATTTTTCGTGAGGTTATAGCACGTATTATATTACCTAGTGCTAATATTCTATGTAATATAATTTAAGCAATGGACTGAGGTCCAAGATACACAACAGTTGTATCTGCAAATAATCTATGAACATTATCTTCAGATTCTCTAGTTACTAATCTATAGATAAAGCCATAAGAATTCTTTCCTACCAATTCTTCCTTTTTTATCATCTAGACTTTTTTCCCTAGAAAACTGAATGCCTGTCATTAATAAATTGGAAGAAACACCCAAATTACACTTATACTATGGAAAGACGACAAGAATGTGTTGACTGGATGCTTTCCACTCATATTTTCATCAGCAGCCTATGAAAAAAAATAGCCTTTGAGGATAAGAGGAAGGTAGAATTCAGTATATAAGGAGGTACAATTTTGCACAATATGTTGCATGCAGAAAAAAATTTGTGTGACAGAATGGGGTAGAAGAGACAAAAATAGTTTTCTGTCTAATAACCAAGAGTTAAGCCTGGTGGTACGTCATGGACTAGGCTTTTCCAGCAAGCCCTTTGTAGCTATTTGCTTGAGAAACAGGATTGAAAACGTGCCTGCTGTGTCCATAGCACCAGGCTAATTTCTAGTGGTGAAGTGATTTACCTGTGGTCACAAGTTAGCAAGTAGAAGAGCCAAGATTTTAATCCAGATCTCGCTGACACTGAAGCATTTGAAAAGGTTCAGCTAATGAATTTCTCAATTCTCTGCTTTTCTGACAGTTCACGTAATTTAAATAATTTGATTTAAATGTTTCCTTTTTTATATGTATATCTAAGTATAGATATATGAGTATCAACACTCATAAGCTCTACACAACTTGTGAGCATAGATACTACTCAGAATTGTCTGGTGCTTTTGGGATTCTCTTTTGGGGTTCATTACTGGTTGATGCCAAAGTGAAATGAGATGATTCATGGCCACGTGATTGCTTTGACCCCCACATCAAGAAATCTGAATGATCTGGACCAGGAATCAGCAGCTACAGCCCATGAGCCAATTCCAGCCAGCTGCCTGTTGTTACATGACCCATAAGCTGAGTGGTTTTTACGTTTTTAAATAGTTGAGGAAAAAATCAAAAGAATAGTATTTTTGCGTCACTTGAAAATCATATGAAATTCAAATTTCACTGCTGATAAATAAAGTTTTATTGGAGCATGCCCATGCTTATCCATTTACTTATTGTCTTTCGCTGCTTTTGTGCTATAGTGGCAGAGTTGAGTAGCCTAAAATATCTACTGTCTGGTCCTTCAGAGAAGAAGTTTGCTGACCATTGATTTAGATACTCTCAAATGTAGGTTTACTTCTTCAGTTTATCCCAGTAGAAGGTCGAACCATTTGCTTTTACTATTGAGCTGATGGTTTGGAAACCCAAAATTTCCTGGTAGTTTTTTTTTATAATTTTATTTATTTATTTTTCCACCAAAGCCCCAGTAGATAGTTGTATGTCATAGCTGCACATCCTTCTAGTTGCTGTATGTGGGACGTGGCCTCAGCATGGCCGGAGAAGCGGTGCATCAGTGCGCCCCCGGGATCCGAACCCGGGCCGCCAGCAGCGGAGCACACGCACTTAACCGCTAAGACACGGGGCCGGCCCTCCTGGTAGATCTTATACTCAGAACTATTCAAAATGGAAACTGTGCCAGCTATTTTATATCGTGGAGTCTTTGATGCCATAGACAAATTTGGACGGATATCTGTACCTTTGGAAGTGGAGAAAGAAAGGAAAGAATTCCACAATCCTAGCACTGTTCTTTAAAGCATGCATCACTGACCTGTAGAGTGTGCTTCGTTGAATCAGTGTTATAATTTGACTTTAAAAGTAGGAACATCTTTCTAGAATCATGTTTAAATTCTAAACTTTGAAAGGTATTCTCAGAGAATTTCCTGAGTATTGTTTCTGGTTAGAAATTTGGTGTTAAAAGAATCATGGTAAGTAAATCTTAATTTGTTGATACTCTTGTAATTTGGACAATGAAAAACTAGAAACAACAATCTTCTCATTCAAGATCAAGATCTCAAATACTCCTTAGAAGCATTTAAAATCTCCCTGGGCTTTAGAATGCAATAGGATATTATGTTGTGATTTAACTCCATTCAAATTAAGACTTTGAGGCATTGGACAATGTTCTCTTGATAGATTTTATTTAATGTCTGGTATTTTTGTGTCATTTAAATGTTATTCAGTTAAACACTTAGAGTTGAGGAATATTCGAGGGGGCAGAGAGAGTGAATGAAATAAATTAAAAACTCACAATAAAAAAAAAACTTACTCCCGTGGGATAGTTACCTGCCTGATGTCATTGCCATCCTGGGTTGAAATGCTGAGAGTAGAGGCTACAAGTGATGTGAATAAAATGGAAATTGCATTGAAGTGATGAAACAGAGACCTTTTAGATCAAGAAAATATTTTAACAGCCTTTTAAAAAATTAGTGGTAAATTTTTTCTTCCTGGAAAAAGAAGTCAAAGACATAACTTTACACAATTTCTACCCTTTTTATTGATAGATATCAGGCACTCAATGTTTGATGACTAATTGAGACATCAGGTCCCAACTAACTGGCCGTCTGTGTTGGAAAGATAAAAGCTTTTCTTAGCTCTGAACATGAGGCAGCTTGTTACTCTCCAGATAGTGCCTTTGATTGAAAACAAGGTCTAGGCTTTTTTAAGTATTTTATTTCTGACATAAGAAATGATTTGGTTCCTCATTCTCCTTATCGTTCACAGGATGCACTATAATTTTCAGATTTAAAGTAAAATAAGTATGTGAATTGTGTTTTGGTAAAGCCTTTTCATGGCCAGCTTGATTATTGTCTAGTACCAGACATCAACAGCTAACATTTCATGAAATCAATGATTTACTTTATTAAAACAATGAGCTTTAGCCTGAAAGTTATTGCTGCTCTATTATTAACAAAATAGTAAGTTTTTTAAATTAATTTTCATTCATTCTACTGAAATTAAAATTTCTGGTTAGAAGTGGAGTGGATGATATTTATAATCCAAGTTTTTACATCACATTCATTGATCTACCTATCCCTTCTTTTCACTCCAAAGAAGAGATGATAGAATAATACATTAGATATACTATAGAGATGCAAAATTATAATGTATTTCATTTTACTGTTGGAATTTCTTATTGTAACATTGTATGATAACCTGAAATGTTTACTTGTGCCTTTGCTTTAAACAATTAAAGTTTTTCATTTTATAAGAATTTCTGTTTCCTTCAACTATTCAACTTAAAAGGGGAGAGGCATCAAAACACTATTAAGAAATGATTGGCCTAACATCAGATGTTCATTAGTGAGGTTTGTGCTCTATGGGTACAGGGACCATATCCACCTGGTCCACCCATGTGTAATTAGTGTCCAACAGAGAGCCTGGTACATGATATTTTTCAATTTAATGAAAGGCCAGTTATCTAGACTTGTTATTTGCTTCAGGAACATGCTAATTTTAAAAAAAATATTAATGGCAATACTTTCATCTTAGATTGTATTTTAGGTTATTAAATTAATTAGCAACTAATTCAATAATATATTCAAATACATATAATTTGAATATACATATTGAGGCTATTATAAAAAAGTATGCCTTCTGCATCTTTATCACAATGTTAATATCATTTAGTTCAGAAGCAGTAGTTCACTATATATTCTGTTTTATTCCCAAAATTATTTAAGGCACTTTATAAAGGTGTATGAAATATGACAAGCTAGTTATAATCCAAGATTTCTCTGCCTTAGCGTTATTGACATTTGGGGCCAAATTGTTGCAGATGGCTGTCCTGTACATTGAAGGATGTTTGGCAGCATCCCTGGCCTCTACCCACCAGATGCCAGCAGCATCTCCTCCTTTAGTTGTGGCAACCCAAAATGTCTCCAGTCATTGTCGTATGTCCCCAAGAGGAAGAACTGAGAGTGAAAATTGCCCCCAATTGAGAATCTCTGGTATAAATTTAGAAGTGGGTCAAAAAACAAAGGGCCACTAGGACTAAAACTAAAAATATATACACCTATTGAAGATGGAACACAAACTTGTTTCTAGTAGTCAGTGAGAAGAGTAAAACCTGAATCAATGAGGTGCCACTTATTAGAATGGCCATTTAAAAAAAAAAAAAACGGAAAATAAGTGTTGGTAAGGATATGGAAAAATGGGAACCCTTTTGCTTTGCTGCTGGGAATGTAAAACGGTGCAGCCATTGTGGGACAGTTTTGACCGTTCCTAAAAAAAGCTAAACATAGAATTACCATATGATGTAGCAATTTCGCTTCTAGATATATACGGTCACGCGTTAACAACGGGGATGTGTACTGAGAAATGCATCGTGAGGCGATTTCATCCTTGTGCGAACATCGTAGTATGTACTTATACAAACCTCGATGGTATAGCCTACTACACACCTAGGCTGTATAGTACTAATCTTATGGGAACACCATCATATATGTGGTCCATTGTTGACCAAAACGTTACGTAGCACGTGACTAAGAAGAAAGCAGGGACTCAGATATTTGTACCCCAATGTTCATAATAGCATAATTCACAATAACCAAAAAGTGGAAACAACAAATGACCATCAACAGGTGAATGGGTAAATAAAATGTCATATATAAAATCGAATATTATTCAACAATAAAAAGGAATGAAATTCTGATACATGCTACAATGTGGATGAACCTTGAAAACTTGCTGAGTGAAATAACCCAGACACATAGTATGGTTCCACTGATATGAAGTACCTAGAGTAGCAAATTCATAGGCAGAAATAGAACAGACATTACCGGAGTGTTAGGGAGTGTTAAGGGAAGGGGAATTATTTTTTAATGGATACAGAGCTTCTGTTTAGGACGATGAAAAAGTTCTGGAAATGGATAATGGTGATGGTGGCACAACACTGAATGTATTTAATGCCACTGAATTTTACACTTAAAAATGGTGAAAATGTTAAAAATTAGGCCTGTTAAAAACAAGAGTCAGCTTATAAATATGTTCAAATAAAGATATATAGAAGGAAGAAAAAAACCAAAACCTGAAGAAATTTATAGTGCCCATGAAATAAAAAACAGTTTTTTTAGGTATGAAATTCTGGTAGCAGACTGGAACTCAAGCTTTGTGTTTTTGAAACCAGGACAAGTCACAGAAGAACCTTACAGCCTCCTTGCTGCTCCTTGTACACCAGACTCCCACCCAGGGCCTGGCCCTTCCTGTTATGGTCTTCTGCCACGTTCCCACATGGCTGGCTCCCTGCCTTCTCCTGGGCTCTGCTCAAGTGTCACCTGCACAGGAGGCCTTTTCTGACCCTTCCTTTTAGAAAGCCCCTTCCCAGCTTTACTTTTCTCCACAGCATTGATGACTGTCTGACATCCTAGGCGTTTCATATCTTTATTTGTTTTTGTTTGTC